GCCTCTATTCAATTGACAATGAACAAAATTCAATATTGAAATTCAACTTTTTATTGATAATACCTCTTCAGAGAAGTAGCATTCCAAGGCTTGTTAACCAGCCTTCCGGCCATGGTCTCTAAGGTATATGCCCCCTTTCCTATGGCTTCTGCAATTCTGTATGGACCTTCCCATGGTGGCATCATCTTTTTGACTATACCCACCTTCTTTTTCAGAACCAGATCACCTGGTCTAAAGTCTCTGTGCTTTACTTTTTTGTTATGGCTATTCGCAAGCGTCTGCTGGTAGGATGCGAGCCTTACCGCCACTGCATCTCTTTTTTCCTCCAACAAATCGAGGTTAAACCTCAACATACTGTCATTATGCTCTCGGTTCCATGCCAAGCTTCGAACAGTCGGAACCAAGTGCTCGACCGGTATAACTGCCTCGGTACCATACGCCATGGTGAATGGGCTTTCTCCGGTCGGTCGCCTTAGGGTCGTTCTATAAGCCCATAGGACATTTGGCAGTTCATCTAACCATTTCCCTTTTTTTTCTTTTAGCTTCTTCTTGATACAAGCAAAGATTGTTCTATTTGTGATTTCCGCCTGTCCATTGGCCTGTGGGTGACTTACTGCCGCCAGCTTTTGATTAATTCCATATTCCTCCAACAACCCTCTTACTTGCTTACTGTCAAGGTTGGTCCCATTATCCATGACGATTGACCTCGGAACACCAAACCGGCAAATAATATTACTCCAAATGAATCGTCTCACATGAGTTTGAGTAACGTTCAGGTATGGCTCTGCTTCTACCCACTTAGTAAAGTAATCTGTAGCCAATAGCACATACTTGTTTTGAGCTCTTGCAGTTGGTAGAGGACCAACCACATCCATCCCCCACTGTGCGAAAGGCCATGGTGTGGCCATTACGTGCAAGTCCTCAGGTGGTTGGTGAATCAGTGGTCCGAACCTTTGGCACTTATCGCACCTTCTGGACAATTCTTCCGCACCTCGCGACATGTTCGTCCAGAAGTACCCTTGCGTCATTGCTTTGTGCTCTAAAGATCTCCCCCCTGAGTGGTTTCCACATACACCTTCATGAATAGCTCGTAGTATCTGCCGAGCCTCTGTGGGGGTGATGCACTTTAAGTACAGTCCGGAAAAAGATCTTCTGTACAACTGGTTATGCACTACGGCGTACTTCGCAGCATTCACTTTGATTTTCTTAACTTCATCTCTTTGCTCAGGCAGAGTACCATCCCGGATGTAAGTTATGATCGGATCAATCCAGCTTGGCTCATATGGAATAACATTCACTTGCCAAGGATCTGAGCCCGAAGGTTCTTCGAAAATGGATGACTGGTTTAATATTCCTACTGGAATCACCCTTGCCAATGTTTCTCCCGAACCCGAGGCACTACATGCTAGCCGATTGGCATCCTCGTTATGCTCCCTCAGAATTTGAATGAATTTAATTTTTTCAAAGTTTTTGGCCTCCCGCATAACAGCAGAATGATATGCTTCCATCGTTTCATCCTTGGTTTCATACTCGCCATTCACCTGCCGAACGATTAACTGCGAGTCACTAAAAACAGTCAAATTCCTGACCTTTAGCTCCTTGGCAAGCTTAATTCCTGCCAGCAATGCTTTATACTCTGCCTCATTGTTCGTGGCTCCGAATTCAAGCCGAAGCGCTTGACTTAAGGATGTACTTTCTGGCGTCTGCAGTTTGATCCCAATGCCTGCACCCATTTGATTTGAGGATCCATCGACGAAGAGTTTCCATAAGCAACCACGAAGGTCTTCCTCTATGTCCTCTGAATCGCATTCTAGTAAAAAATCTGCCACCGCTTGCCCTTTGACTGCTGTTCTGGGTTCGTATGTGATATCAAATGAGCTTAACTCTATGGCCCACTTTGTCATTCTTCCTGAGAGATCTGGTTTGTGCATGATTATTCTGATAGGGAAAGTGGTTAGAACGATGATAGGATGGGATTCAAAATAATGCATGAACTTTCTTTTCACATGCACTAGCGAAAGTATCACCCGCTTTGCCTTTGAATAACGTCTTTCGGCCTCAGTCATTGTCTTGCTAACGTAGAACACTGGATATTGCTTCCCTTCTGCATAGCGGATCAAAACACCACTTGTCGCGATGCTGGATACTCCGAGATATAAAAATAGCTTTTCGCTCGGTTCTGGAGCTGACAGGACCGGAAGGTTCTGCATATACTTTTTCAGAGCAGTTAACGCTAGGCACTGTTTATCTCCCCAAACTTGCCTGCTGTGGCTTCGTATTGTGTCAAAAAAATGTTTTGCAGCGATCTGACAATTTGGAAATGAACCAGCTCAGTGCAGCGATCCGTCCCGTAAGTGTTTGCACTTCTTTGACTGTCGTCGGCTCGGTGATCGGTTGATCAACTAAACATCAACCTTCGCAATAGCACGAATCATTGTAAAATAGGGCTATTGGTCGGGTAAGTCGAACCACTGGGACTGCGCTAGTCTATGGCAACCTAAGTGTCTAGAATTGTTCTTAGAATGATAAGGGGTTTATAGAGGGTTTTGTTTGTTTGTCACTTAAACTTAGAACTTAGAATACATAAAATAGTAATGTGCTAGGAAGTAAAGAGATATAATACGAGTAGAGAAGCCTAAGGAAATGAATCCGCTCCATCCCTAAACACATGCTAGATTAGAGCTAAATTGGGGAAACAACATAAATATGTGACTATGGAATGCTACAACCAAAATTGCTACATTCCTTCAAGAAATTCATGAAATCATTGGCAAGTATAACCTATCAAGATGCACATGTTTGAACTACCTAAACTAGTGTGTAGCCTTGGACATGCTTACTAAGTTAGAGATTATTAAGCCTTTAATCACATGATAGGAGCACATGTAGTCAAGAGTCAAGAATAGTCCATCAAAGAAGGGTCCTAAGCTATGGAATATCAAGATTCTCATACAACATGCCAAGAAACCCATTTCACAATCTCATTTCCAATGTCACTATAGAAATGCAAGGCATACAATCATGAGAAAATATGATCTAAGACAAGATAATACATTCATCATAATCATTTATAAGAAATTAGGTTCATTACATCAAGTGTAACTCTAGATTGTGAAATAATCACATATATACATCATTTTCCCCAAAATAAACTAAGGCTAGAACATGCTTACTAGAGAGGGCTTCATCACCTCCCTAGAAGAGGGTTTAGTTACCCATGGTGGCCCTAGATTGAAGAAGAAGCTTGATCCTCATCTCCATTTTCGTGCACCCTCCTTGAAGCTTCAAGAACTCCTCCTTCTTGCTCTCTTCTCTCTCCTTTATCTTGCAAAAATTCAAGCCCTTTGATATTGTGTGGCTCATATCCCTCTTATCTACCACCAAAAGGCCACCAACCAACATCTCCAACCACTTCATTAAAGAGGAAAGCAAAATGAAGAAACCAAGGTGCAAGTGGGCTGAAATGAGCCATTTCCGAAGGGCATTCTGCCCAAAATTCGAGCACTCTAAGCAAGGCCTCGAGCACTCGAATTTAGTGTAAAAAGCTCCATGCTTCACTTGCTCCGCCCAGACCTACTTTGGTTAAATGGCCATAACTCTCTACTACGAGCTCCAAATGATGAACCGTTTGAAGATTTAGAAAGCTAATTCAGAGGTCTAAATATTTCATGTTTTGGTGGAGATCCAATTCTCAAGTCTGGTTGGTCGAAAATGAAGATCAAGGCAGAATTTCATTGCTGCCAGGCAGTTCTGTGAGCCTCTGGTAACAAGGCCATAACTCTCTGCTCCGAGCTCCGAATGACAAAATTTTTGAAGATTTGGAAAGCTGATTCAGAGCTCTAAATCTTTCATGTTATGAGGGAAGTCCAGTTCCCAAGTTTTCAAGGTCAAAATGGCGAGAAAAGTTCAGGATCCACTGCTGCCAGAAATTCGGCCTTGTGCCTTTTGATGGCCAAAACTCCACAAAGCCTTGATTTTGCTCCTTTTTTGGAAAATGGACCTGAAAATATATACATACACACAAATGAAGATAATCTACTTAATTAAACAAACAACGGACTTAACTAATGCAATTTAGGGCGCTTGAATATACAGTATTCGGCGCTTATCACTCGGCATTCTTAGTCAGAGCTTCTGCTTGGGCAGGGCTTGCCTCGATGCCTCTGAGATTAACCATGTGCCCCAGGAATTGGCCAGAACTCACACCAAATGAGCACTTGGTTGGATTGAGCTTCATTCCATATTGCTTCAAACATCAAATATGTCTCGTAGATGTTTCACATGGTCAACTTTCTTCTTACTTTTTACCACCATGTCATCAATGTAAGCTTCCGCTGTCTTCCCTATTTGTCCCTTAAAAATTTTGCTAATAAGTCTTTGGTAAGTTGCTCCGGCGTTCTTCAGTCCGAATGGCATGACTTTGTAGTAATACGTCCCGCGTTCGGTAACGAAAGAAGTTTTTTCTTCATCAGCAGGGTCCATAGGGATCTGATTATAACCTGAATAAGCATCTAAAAAGGTCAAACGTTCATATCCAGTAGTTGCATCCACCATTTGATCAATCTTTGGTAGCGGGAAGCTATCCTTCGTACAGGCTTTGTTTAAATTGGTGAAATCAATGCACACTCGCCATTTCCCATTTTTCTTCTGCACAACGACAATATTTGATAACCAGTCAGGGTAGTATACTTCTCTTACAAACCCCGCATCAAGCAGCTTGTCAACCTCCTCGGCAATGATCCGGTTGCGCTCGGGAGCAAACCGTCGCTATTTCTGCTTTACAGGTTTTGCATTGGGATTAACGTTCAAGGAGTGACAAGATACAGAAGGATCGATCCCTGGCATGTCTAGGTGACTCCATGCAAACACATCTGTGTTTTGAGACAAAAAACTAACTAACTCCTACTTCTCCTCTTCAGCGAGTCGTTCCCCTACTCTGATTGTTCGTTCTGGTCGGAACTGATCGATCTGCACATCAAACAGGGGTTCTTCAGTCAAGTTCACTGGCTCCTCCCCCCCATTCTGCTTGGAGGGAGGCTCTTGAAATTGTTATATCGGACTTGCTGAACGAATGAGAGCTTTCCCTTTCTGGCGTGTTTCAGCGTTACTGAATAACATTTTTTAGCTGCAACCTGGTCCCCATGAATGTCAATCACTTTGGTCCCGTCTGGCCCCAGGCATCTCATTACCTGATGTAGAGTGGAAAGAACACCTTGAACTCTGTGGATCCACCCTCTGCCTATCAGAAGATTGTAAGAGGGATGAATTTCAACAACCACAAAGGTTTCCATCAGAACTCTCTCGGTAGCATGTACCGCTACCTCCACCGTACCGACGGGCTCTACTCGCTTTCCATCAAACCCTAGTAGAGGATTCCCGGTGGGTTGCAGCCGATCCCGTTTGATCTCGAGCCGATCAAATGTGTCCCTTGGCATAATGTTCGCATTACTTCCAGGATCAATCAGAACTCTGGGCACCGAGCATTTGGCTACTGTCAAACTTACGACCAACGGGTCCTCATGAGGGATCTGAACATGTAATAGATCTGTTCCGTCAAACTTTATCTGCGTTGATGCGCTCTGTTGGTGTAGAGTGTTTACATTGCCTATCCTTCTCTTCATCTATGCTTGGCGAAGGCGTGTTGAAGCAGTTCATCTGACTTTTCAGCAGGCTCTGACCGACCGTGAATTGCATTGATTATTCGAACTGGTTGCGTGTTATGAGAATTCGACTTCTGATTCCTCTTCACGTGCTCCATTAGTCGATTCTGTTCCACCGCTGGGCCTTGAATATAACTTGCGAACTCCCCTCTGGCTATCAGCATCTCTACCTGTCTCCTTAGGTTCCTGCATTCGTTAGTCTGATGGCCAAAGTCAGAATGAAATGCACAGTGCTTAGACTGATCCCTCTGTTCGAGGGGTTGTCTGATTGGTAAAGGAGGTCGGAACTTATCTTTATTTTCTTGGTACAGTCTTGCTAAGGTAACTTTTAATGGAGTAACCAGCTCTTTCTCTCTGGGCCTTTTCTCAGATTTCCACGAGGAGCGCTGCGGCTGAACCTGCTTTTGCTTGATATTTGCTTTGGTCTTTTCTTCCGTGGATATGACGAATGTCTTCCGAGCCTTTGCCACCTATTCTTCTTCCAAGCGCACAAATCCATTGGCTCTTTCATTAAGTTTATCCATAGTTTTCGGCGTGTTCACCACCAAGCTTATGTGGAATGGGGTGCCACGGGTCATGGCCAGTATAAATGCTTGAACTGCCGTTGAAGGGTGACATTCAATAACCATGCTCTTGGTAAGGTAAAACCTGGTTAGGAAAGCCTGGAGACGCTCATCAGCATGCTGCTTCATTGTGAATAGGCTCGAAATATCCTTCGCTGGACGTTTGTTTCCATAATATTGGCTTATGAACCGATCACACAAGCTTCGGAAACTATCCACTGAGCCCCTCGGCAGGTTCTTGAACCAATTTAGGGCTGGTCCAGCTAGACTCGTAGGAAAGCACTTGCACATCAAAGAGTCATTCTCAGTGTTCAGAGCCATTTTCAACTGGATGTGATATACATGATCGATCGGATCGGTCATTCCGTCGAACAAAATGAAAACGGGCATGGAAAATTTCCTCGGACTCGGAGCATTCAGAATCTCATAGGTGAACGGTGAATCAACCGTTCGAGCTGCTGAACGGAGTGCTTCATTTTCTCTCTGGAACCCCGCGGTTGCTCTCTGGTCTACAGACCTCCTCTCTGAGCCGTGATAGCCGAACGTCGTCATGGAAGGCTGATAAGTCAGATCGAATGATCTGTCCTCAACAAAGTCTCTACGCTATGGAGGCATAGCTTTGTGACGATCCAACTCTATCGCTTCACCTCGGCTGAGCGTTTCTTGATGTGGATCAAAAGTCATTGCTTCGTTTCGCCTAATCTGCTCACGCCGTGGATCCACGTGAGTCGATCCTTCACGATCATCAATACGACGAAGTTTTGGCGGCAAACCGTCTCGCCGGATTTCCTCGCGGTGAGGATCTATCAGATTGTTTCCGACCTCCTCGCCGTGATGTGCCGCATCGGTACGTGCACCTTCTTCTCCTATCGGGAGTGGTTGCAGAATTACTGGAGCTTCTTGACGCTGCATTTCAGTCCTTAGATCCGCATTTTCTCTCCGAAGAGCTTCGATCATGCTTATCAACTCATTAAGTTTTACCTGCTGGACGTTCTCTACCGTATTGGAGTTCTCACCCCCTATTATGATTCCAGATCGAAGCAAAAGCATGAATTACGAACTCCGAAACAGATCTGAGCGTCACTGATGCAAATTTCGTTAGATCTGGGCTCAACTTCACCGAATCGTGGTCACCGTTTGCTAGATTTGAACTTTTCTAGCTTTGAACTCACACTGCAATTGAGCAAATCACAGTTGTGTCATTCCGAAGCAAATGCCTCAGAATCCACAATAAGCAAGAATTCTCTCTGAACAAACTACAATCTCACTGATCTGGATTCAACTTTCAGAAATCAAACTGTGTACTCACAAACTTGATTGAACTAACATGGTACTGATCAGGCTCAAATCGATTTTCTTCGTCGTTCCCACAGACGGCGCCAATTGAAGATACAAGAAATTCATTTTTCTTTCTCTCTCTAGAATTCGTACACTTCAATAGAATCAAAAATCCCCCTCTTATCCACTCGTAATCGTCTATTTATAGACCATTACAAATATTCTCACTCCCTGATTATATTGGGCCTATATTCAAGGGTTTTCTTCCTTTTGGGCCTGATTTTCCAATGGGCTTGATCTTCCTCAGTGGATCCTCCAAGTTCGGCCCATTCCGGGGCGCTTTTGCATAGGCCATACTTCAATTGTTCGACCCGATCCCATGCTAGTGAGCTATAACCGGCCAATTCCATTTACTGCATCCTCACTTTCTATAAAATGTTGGAATCTATAAATTTTGTTACGTGTTTATTATAAAACTCACATTTGTGGACTTGATCAAGAATTTTAAAATCTTAGACCAATCCAACGACGGTGAGATAATTTCAAAATTTGAATTAAGTACAAACGTTTGTAGAGGCAAAGCTTACCTCAGAACGTGTGAGACTTGATTCAACTGGTCTGGTTACTCAAACTCATGACCGAACTAATGGTGTAAAAACAGGATTTTTTCTATTTATCTACTAATAAATTACCCTTGTCAGCAAAGACGGTCTTCAACTCCAATCTCTCATCACAGTTATTCATGGTAATAATTCATCCCATTTGAAGACAATATTATAGATATGAGGGCAAACAGGGAATATTGAAAAATTTGGGATACCAGAGCAAAATTAAAGGCGAATATTGAAAAATTTGGGATACCAGAGCAAAATTAAAACAGGGAATATTGAAAAATTTGGGATACCAGAGCAAAATTAAAATTTTGCAGAAAAAGGTTCAAAAGAACACGGTTGTATTTTACCTTATATTCCCTCGCTGGCTACAAAAAAGAAAAGAGAAGAAAAAAACAAAACAGAAAGAAAAGTACATTTCAGATCTCTCTTCTGCAACCGGCTATTCGAGTCCCCAAAGCTCGCAAGAGTAAGAAGGCCAATATATATATAATATAGAGAGAGAGAAGAAGAAGAGAGTGGAGAGAGAAAGTAGAGAGAAGAAGAGGCGGTGCTGCATAACAGTGGGAGAAGGAGGAGAAGAAGAAGAAGAAGAAGAAGAAGAAGAAATGGGTTGCAGAAACAGAGAGTTGTTGGAGGAAGAAAGTGCGGTCTCGGTTTCACTGAGCGACGCCCTAATTTTCTCTACCATGTGTATCGTTGGCCTCCCAGTCGATGTTCACGTCAAGGATGGTTCGATTTATTCTGGAATATTCCACACAGCCTGTCTAGAGAAAAACTATGGTACTTTGTATTAGCTTTGATTTGATGGCCATTTTTATGTGAATCTATTGGATTTTCTGAATCCCTTTCTGGGTTTTATTGATCACATGAAATTGTATCCGATTATTGATTTTCTTGTAGAGACTCTAATGATTTTGCTCATACTGGATTGGATCAGTTTGGGTTCTGATCTGGATTCGTCCAATATAATTGTACATCTTTATCTTCAACGCTTTGTTTGGTTGCTTATAAATATGTGAAACCATATTCAATTTGAATTGTTTCATTCTTACATTTGTCAGTTAATTGGGGGCTTTTAGAAAGCAAAAACATACACTCAACTAGGCCATCTGGTTTAGTTGAGGTGAGTTTTCATTTGCTGGAAACAAGTAGTATATAATTTATAATTTTTTTTTTTGGTTTTTCTTAGTCTCCTCATCTACCAAAATAAGGATATAAATGGGTTTATTGAAGTCCTTTTCACTTTTTATTCCTTGATGCTAGTGTACCTCATCCAAATTAAGAGTGTTAATTGAGATTTACCACATTGATATATGTTTGATTTAGGTATTGTATTGAAGAGAGCAAGGATGACTAAAAAGTGTAATTGTGATGCTAATGTGGCGAATGGGGGTCTAATAGAAACACTTGTAGTCTTATCAGAAGATCTTGTCCAAGTGGTTGCCAAGGTATGTTACTATTTTTCTTCATCCTTGGGTTTAGTAACCACTACGATGTTGTGTTGGATGACATGTAGATATGTTTTTGGTTTGTATGTAGGAAGTTCTGCTTTCATCAGATGGTATCGTTGGCAATTTCACTGGGGATGATGTAGAGGATATAGCCGGTGCTGTTTCTTCCACTGAATGTGCAGAGAGCAAAGCCAAGATGAGAAAGCATAGGGAGTCTAATCTGTACTTAAAGCAAATTAATCAAACAAGGTAATGCTTTCATAAAACTTTCCGTTATTTTAAGCATTAATTCTCTGTATTTGTCAGACTCAGCATAGATCACATGGCTTGGTATTAACTGAAAGGCAATGGTACAAAACGAAAAAAGAAAAGAAATAACATGTACAAAGATCAAGTAAGGGCTTATTAATTTGGCCATAAGAAAACACAGGTTCTACCATACCGGGAAAAAACACATGTTCCAACAAATTCAACAATATAATTTTAGAACCTTTTATTTTGCTGCAAATTCACTGGTTTGGAATTAAGATACCAAGTTCTCTAATGTTATTATAGCATTTGGCTGTCAAGTTGTCACATAAGATTCAGATGTTAAATATCTGAAACTATTATTTGAGTGCCTGCAAGTAATGTCTAAACCATTATTTTCTAATTTCCCACAAAAAAAGGTTATGTTTCATCAGTTATTTGTTGGACTGAATTCTTTAGTGTTTCGGAATTAAAATTTTATTGTACTTGGAGTTTCATCTTTTACTGAGTTGGTGCCAAGCCTGGAGGAAGGAAGAGGGTTGTGGTATCAGGTATGTGGATGGGGAACATATCATACTAAACCATATGGTTACACCCTATGAGCATCAATCCTGAGAGAAGTGGATTTGTCCATCCGAGTAATTGGAGTTAAGATTCTGTTAAGTTGAGTGGAGTAGCAATTCTAAATTTTTATGAAAATGTGATTTTTAATTCTCTCAAAGGAATTTCAACTATCACATTAATATTATTTTTTCTCTTGCAATAAGAATATTACTATTTTCCATATACAATTAAATTAAATACCCAATGTATGTTCTTCTATTTTGCTATTGTGGCATAGGTATCAGTTAATCAGTATCGGTACCAAGATTATACAATGATAGTATCATCAGTACTGAATTGGACTATCAAAAGCATTCATACTTGATCTCCCCCTTTTTTTTTTTTTTGATTAGTATGCTTAATCTCCCTTTTGGAATATAAATTAGCCTTATACATTGGCCATATATTTTTATGTATTGGATAATGAATTGTAGTGTCGCTTTCCCGCTACTGTAGACATGGTTGGATCCCTCTCTCTTGATAGATATGGCTGTGTTGAACCTTTGAACTTGGAACTGTGGCCTGTTCTGATTTCTCACTGTTAGCGGTAAATCAATTAAATTTAAGAGAAGCTTAATATGCTAACAGAGAGAGTTTCCATACATTCTGTAGCATCTAATGTTTGAATTTGGCCAAATAACTATTTAGCTTGATTGCTGGATTTTGCTTCTGGGTTTGTTCGGGTTTCTGTGGGTTATGCCCAGGTCTTCCATAGGTTTGATCGAGGCTTGGAGAGGTTGTACAGTGGGGGGTTCAAGTCCGTGATTTCTGGAGGGTTATGCCTTTGTGCGTTTGGTGGTGTATATGGCATGAGAGAAATAGGACATCTTTTGAAGGAAAGGAGAATCCTATTGGGTCGTTGAAGTTCTCCATAATTAGCACCCTTTTTTGTTGGGTTTTAGGGAGAAATTGTAAATCCATAGAGGAGTTTGTTGATCTTTTGGGTTCTTTTGAGGGATGCGTTCCCCTTTTGAACGCTCTTAATACAATCTTTACTTCTATAAAAAAACTGTTTTTTTTTTCTCTTTCAATCTCTTCTTTTTAAGTCATATTTTGCCCCACCCTAAAAAGGAAATGAAAAAATATAGAAAAAAGAACTGATACCAAAAAAACAAAAAGAAGCATTTTCATTTGAAATATGAAGCTTGCAGGACCACTGAAACAGGAAAAATCCACTGGCCATAAATACACTTTCAATGAAACAATCAGCTGGAACATTATCAGCTGTAACCTTAATGTTCTGAAATTCGAATCGAACTTGATTGTTTTTGTTACCCTAGGCGTTGGAGTGGGATAGATCTTCTTCACATGGTTCTTGGAAAGTCATTTAGAATGCATTTGGAAGATCTTCCCAACTAGTGGAGAAGATAAAATATGTCATGCTGATTGGGGAAAAAGAACATAATTGCAGCAACAGGGCATTTAGAATGCATTTGGAAGATCTTCCCAACTAGTGGAGAAGATGAAATATTTCATGCGGATTGGGGAAAAAGAACTTAATTGCAGCAATAAGGCAAGATAACTCTTAATTTTGAAGTGACTTAACTGCCCATTTTTTCTTAAAAAGCCCAACATATTGAAGCCTTCCATCCTAACACCAAAGATATCCTTTTGAATTTTATTTTCAGTCATTTCACACAAACATGTATTAACTATTAACCCAGGATTTGGACATCTAGTACTTATATCGCAGTGGCATGCACTCCTAAGAGGCAGTACTTTTGGAGTTCTATTTTCGGTGGATTTATTTATTTATTTTTTTGATAAGTACTATTTTCGGTGGATTTATCAAAGTACCCTAAGAACATTTCATTTTTTTCCACTGTATTCTTTTATCGATTGACAGTGGTAAGAGTCAAACTATAACACCTCCTCTCATTTAGATGTCATGCCACTAAGCCATCACTTCTTTACTATGCTATTATGGCATTTGGCCTTTTCTTTTTAAATTTTTTTTCACAAGATTTCATTTCTTATATATTGGATCCTTCCAAATTTGGCCACCAGTTTCCCGTTTATTGGATCTTTAGTTCTTAAATGTGATATATGTTTTTCCCTTTTGATTTCATAAATGGCTTGATTAATAATCATCTAGACAACCATTTGTAACTTCAAACCTAGCCTCCCGCTACTATTCTCTTGTTAGTCTGCAATCATTGTTAGTATTACTGAATAGTTTTGCGCCTCACCGTTCACATTCTTCTCCTATATTTAATTGAACCTCATTTTTTGGGATATTAATGAACAGTTTCCATGCCAGATTGTCTTTCTTTCTTTTTATTTTTTAGTTTTTATTGAATTGTTTTATTCCCTTGGTAGGAAATTTGAATCAAACTGTTTATAATGTTTATATCTATGAATCCTCCTTCCCTTATGTGACAATTTAACTTAAAGAAGACCCGAATGTCTTTGTTGCCAATGCCATCTTATCGTATCCACTTTTTTTGTGTGCTTATTCTGCCAATGCCATCTTATTGGCTGCATCCACAGTTTTTGCTTATTCTTGTCTGACGAGTACAAGAGGAAACTTAATCCTGATAGAAGTCTTCTGGCTAACATTCAATTTCAAAAGAAATCCTATACAGGTGCCATTATTTAAAAACATGTTTAAACCTGTTTCTTCTGTTTCGCCATCTAAAATAAGTTCAAGAACTGTGTTATATAGGTACCACAAGGGTCATTGGAGTTTCTTTTGAGTTCTGTAACAAACACTGTGAATCTATGAAAGCAATCTCGTACGATCTTCTTTGGGCGAGTTTCATATTTTTAAGGGGTTTGATTGCAAAATATAATATATATTTTTTGATAAATAAAAGTTCATTAAAAGGCGCTCAGGAGGGGAGCACATTCTAAAAACAAAAACCACAAGGACCGAAACTGGCCCACTATACTATCAAGATCGCAAGAAATAATAGGATAATGCATGAAAATAATAAATAGATCAAGGATATTTGAAGCAGCAGAAAGATTTTCAGTGGGACTTCTGGAGGTTGACAAATTGACAAGGATATTAAATAGATCAAGGATGTCAACAAGTTGACAATTTTTCATTGCTTCCCTTTTATTGACAATTTTTATAGAGGTTGTGCTAATCTTAGCGGGGCTTCTGGAGGCAATGTAGTAGCGAGAAGGGGAGTATCATGTAATTCATCTTATTGTTTAACCTGTTTGGAAAATTGTCTATTTTCTATATAATTTTTCCTTCATCATAAAAAGTTAATAATAAATATATGATTGGAATCTGTCCTTCACTTCCTTTTTATTTTTTCTTAAGTTGGTCTTGTTTGTAGGACATTCTATGTATGTTGCTTTACTTTTGTTTAAGGCAATTAGCCATTTCATCGAACTCTTAGCTCGTGACCATGGTTTGAGGAATAGTTGTCATTGCAACTATACTTTAGCCTAAATTGTTATTGATGCTGAAAGTTTTAAAGTAAACAGGACATTGTGCTTTTGTTAAAGTGTATTATGACATATTATTAGTAGTTTGTGGAGGTTCTGCAAATTTTTAGTTTTGGGGTAGGGAAAAAGGGGAATCATAATAGGGTATTTAAACAATGCAGTGGTAGTACAAGAAATAATCTTGTTGTTGGAATTCAAATTATAATTTTTTTGGTATGGACGAATTGTTAATGAAAATGGTAATTGATTGCTGAAGGGAATAAAATGCACTGTTGTATTTTTCTAGAAAGTTTCTGCTTTTTTGCACTTTACTTGTCTTCTGCAGCTGCATAATTTCACTCATGTATTGTTATGCCACAGATGATATTTGATTGGATTTTGGTGGAGTCAATGATTCATTCCTAACCTATGTTATCACCTAGTTTCATCTTTTTGGCTTAGTATATTTATATGCATGTGAATTGTTGCATAGTTATTATGTTTCTGTTCTCTATAGTGTGTTTTATAGCCCTTAAATATAAAGGACAGATCCTATGATATAATAAACATCTGTTCTTTATGTTGTGTTATGCTGTTATATATCTTCAAGTCTCCCTCCATCCCAAATCTGTTGTCCTCTTCAAGAGTATCATATTTTCAAGGAGACAAACATTTATGCATCCCCACTCAAGTGGGGAATGATTTTCCAAAATTACCCTGCAAAATCTAGAGATTCACATTTTTTGGTGGGGAAGTTTTTAAAATCCTCCAGAAGAATAATTTGGATAATGTAAAAGAATTAATATATATATTTTTAAAAGGCCAACTGTTATTGGATAAATTAAATAGGAAAGATGGGCAAAACAAATTGGGACAGAGGGGTTATTGTTTTGGATAGAATTATGTTCTTATTTTCTTTTGCCAAAGCAGGAGTTTGGTCCAAATTGAGACTGAGGAACCTCGTGGTTTTGCACTAACAACGGTTCGTCATTTAGGCAATGCTCCAGAAGTTGAAAAGAGAAATTCAGACGGCATACAATTAGCAAAGGTGAATATTTTCTACTTTATGAAAGAATTATTATTTTTAACCTTTGAAGTTAAGTATATGTGGCCAGATTTGAAGTAGGGCCTATTCATATTAGAGGAATGGCATCTCATTAGTTTGATTTATTCTCGACGAGTGAGCCTGTAGGGGGCCTCTGGACAAAAGATAGTTCGGTAGATTGCTTGTAGCCATGAAGGAAAAGTTTAATCTTTTGCCTGTTGTTCTTTTATTTGAGGTTGTCCAAGAAAGATCCTGCATCTTCCAATATGGCTAATATATTAATTTAATGGTCATTCACCAATTAAATGACTTAAATTGGCGGCGCACCTTTATATTGGAGGGTCACATTGCTAAAATATTCATGTGCATTAATGTGTGGTATACATGCCCCTGGTATGAATTTGTTGGGCCCATGATGTGCTAACTGATGGGATTACCTATTTTTATGGGGCGAAGGTTGAGTGTGATCATCTAATAAGGGAAATAGGTTAGTTGTCAGCTTGTTGCGGTTGGTGCATGGAAATATCTTCTCTGATTTGGTTTCAACCTGATTAATGGCAAACTTTGTGGTTGCCCTTTGTCTCAGAGAATGTATTACATGAAATATATGCATGCTTGTGCATGTGTATTTATGCTTGTGTGTGCGTGCCTAAGCGCATGAGTGACTCTGTAGATGTGTGCCATTTTAGCCTGTATGTATGATGTGACATTTTGTAACTTATATGAGTTGTTTTTCTCATTTTTTGTCATTTTTTTTTCCAAATGCAGAAGGGAGGAGCTTCCCGTGCTCCACTAAATGAGAGGTAGTACAAATCTTTCTTTTTCATTATTTTATTTTATTTTTATTCTCATGAGTTGATATTTAGCCAATACCCACTATATCTTGGTTTTCATGCCATTTCTGCCACTATATACGCACCAAGAGTGCACACATGTTGGATAGACTTCTACTATCAATTTTGGCATCAGTTCACACCATATATACATATATCCTCCCTTTCTGATTTTCCATGATAAACATGTCATCTTCTGCTGGACGTTGGCAATTGTGTGTCTATCAATAATTACCTTGCATATCTGTTTCCTATGGCTATTAGTCATCTCAGACACTGCTCTCTGTCTGATGCTGGCACTTTTGCCCTTTTAATTATGTTCATGTAAATATTCTTTTGTGTTCCCACTTCGATGTATAGATCTTTTTTTCTTTTGTTTGATATAATTATAAAGTCACTAGTTTATTCCCAAATTCCTGTCAATTGTTTCTGACAGACAGGTTGGAGGCGGCAGGTCACAAGGAAAACATGGTGATTATGAACAGACGTCTGAATTACAAAAAGAAGAAACTGTATGTTAAAATAAACAATACGCTGAATTATTAGTCCACATAGTAAATGATTGGTTTTATTAACATCATGCATGTTACTTTTTTTCTGCAGACACAAGAAGCTCAAGGCTCAAGTTCAAGTTGTGAGTTCAATATTCGTCGTACTTCTTGATGGTTTAAAATGATCTTGATAAACCTCTGATATAAATGCTTGCTTGTCTACATTTTTGAACGTTCAGAATTCCTAGTAGAAAATGCCTAACAAAACCATGTCTTTTGGACTATTAGCATGTTTGGCAGTAGCATACCAGTACCAATAGTGCACAGTAATGAACTGCCACTGTTTTTCTCTGCTTCTGATATTTCCTATAAGAACTGACCCAGTCATGAGCCATCTTTTCGATCCTTTTCCCTGTACAATGACTATCATTTTGTACTATAAAATGGATGGAGTTCAGTGGATGCATTATCCAATTGAGTGGATATTATGTAAAATAAATTCCCATATGGTTTTCCTAGATTATGGTAATCTTTGGAGGTGATGAATAACTACCCGCATGCCGTTAGTAAATTAATCTTGATGTCTTGTCGTGGATTTCTGCTTTATGCAATTCATGATTTTTCTAATTTTTACATGTAGATGGGATGCCTCACCTGCTCAACTAAATTTTATATTGGATTATGAGTTTTTAGTCCCTTACACGGAGTGGTAGCCTGCTTTATGCAACTAAATGCTGCTATTAGATTGTAATTTTCTAATCCTTTTACATGCAGTTGATGCACGCCTTATACAGTTAAATGCTGTTGGGGATTGTGGAAAGATAACACCCAATCTATTGCCGAATGGTGCAATTCGTGACAATCCCGCTCCTTCCATTGTCAAAGTGGATGATCAATGCCAAGAAAGGCACACTTCAAATGACTTTCCATGCTCAAATGCTATATCTTCAGGTCTACCAACCTCTGTCACTTCACTTATGTATGTTACCTCAGAGTCATGTCATTCATCGTCTTCTCCAATTGAAATGGCCCCTCCAAAAAGTTCAGGTTCCAATAGAAGTGCTAAGGTAAAGTGGATGTTTGGAATAATGTAATATTTTTTATAACTTGATGCAATATAGTGACCGCTGTTTCAGTTTCCTTTATCGTGTTTTATTAGTTCTGGACACAGTTTGGATTATTCAATTGGTGGCCCTCCTTGGATGTGGGATAACCTTAATAAAGATTTTGTAGTAGTAGGTACACCAAACACTTCAGTGCTTTAGCCCTATATTGGAATGCATCATTGAGGCGATCAATAGGAGAAAAAACTGAAAAATGTCAACTGAAAATTTAAAGAACGATTCAGAGCAAAGAAATGGAAGAACAAAAATCTTATGGATTCACAAAGAATCTGTGGATAGCCATTCCTTAGTTCTGCCAAATCCCTTTACTTATGAAGCCAAGGAATGGTTTAAGGCCTGACTGCAAATTAAGTATAATTGAATTATATAAGTCATTTTAAAAAACGTAACTCGTCTTAAAATTATTGTTTGAACACTCCAACTATTTCTATGGAAAAAAAAAATTGATTTAGATAATATTTTTATAGATTCTGTCATCAATAATTAAAATAAGATACATGTAATATACACGAATATCGAATAACTATTCACACAGTTATGGGACTTCATTATTTAATAGAAGTAAAGATTCCAACAAGTAAAAGAGAGGATGCATAATTTAGTGTGGGAGCAGTTTTTGACTTTTTGTAGCTAGAGAGTTGGTCTTTGGTGAGAGCATCTGCTATACCTGGCATTTATTACGGCACATTATATCGTTTTTCTTTTCATTTTTCTTTTTTTCTATTCTTTCTTCTTCTTTTTTTTTTTTTTTTTTTTCCCCTTTCTTATTTTGAACAATGTTCTTTAGATTAATCTCTCTTAATTTTTAGCTACTGGATTCCAAGTAAAAAATTTTTATCAGCGTCTCTAGTGTTATATATATATATGTTAGAATTTTCCCTTTTTAAGAAAATTAAATTATAATCTTTTCGAATTGTTTAAAAATCAAATTTTGAAAGTGAAAGTCAAATTACTATAATGGATGGGACTAAAATTAGAATGGAACTTTTTTGTATCTGATTGCTGGAATCTCATATTCGGTATTTTTGGCGTTCTGTGGGTAATGCCTAAGCACTCTTCCAATTAATTAATGCTTGGAGAAGATGCCCTGTTTCTGGTCATGCTTGTGATTTTTGGAGGGTCGCCCCACATTGTGTTTGGTGGTGTACTTGGAGAGAGAGAAATAACAGAAACTTTGAAGGGAAGGATTCGTGTTTTGCAAACCTTAAGTCTTTTATCCTACGCTCTCTTTTCTGTTATGTCAGAGGCAGCGCTTGCTCCTCGATCGATGACTTTTTTGTTCTATTGGACTCTGTTGGTCCATAGGTTTGGGTTTTGCTCTTTCGTTTTTGTGTATTAGGGACGCGTTCCCCTTTTGAACGTCTTTCTAATATATTTTTACTTATCAAAAAAAAAAAAAATTAGAATGGAACTTGGAAGAAGTGACAGGAAGCCCCTGGGGGAAATAGAATAAATTTAGTGATTTGACAAGTACGCCAATTAACAATATTCAATAGGGGGCCATTAGCTAGGATAACTTGTTTGGGTAGTAGGGGGTGCCAATTCATTACAGAATCCACCTTGGGGGCCCAACAAATAAGTGTGAAGAACTTTTATTATGTGATAGTAAAGATTTATGATGTGATTTCAATTTGGGACACTGTAGCCCCCAACTGGAACCCCTTTAGATCCACCATTATATGAGCTGCTATAGCCAATCATGAGATTAATTTAATCTTTAAGAGCATCTAATATTGTTTACTTGTTTGGTTTATGAGGGTTGTAAATCAGTTGGAGTTATGAACTAATAATAAGACCATCGTCATCCATTGTTTTAATGGGAAAGAAACTTCAATATTCTCTCTGGAATTGTTTCACCATATATTTTATTTTTGTCAGTGAATTAACCTTTTGATCAATTGATAATTCTTTCCCCTGAAATATATTTGCTTTAGGAATTTAAGCTCAACCCTGGTGCAAAGATTTTCCGTCCATCATTCTCAAACCATAGATCAACAACTCCTCCTGTGGTGCCAGCAATTACAAGTGTGAGTTACATACCAGACAACTGTCCTGTGGTACCCATTGCTGCTGCAGAGCCAGATGTTGAAATCAACACTTTTTCGCCTCGTACATCTCCACCTGTTAAGTTTGTTCCAATCAGTAACTTGATGACTGGAAATGACAGCAGTGATTCTCAATATGCCCAGCCTGTACGTATTTTTAGACCTTAATATTTTCTCATTCCTTATATGTAGCCAGTTACTATTCTTTTTAGTCACGGATTTTGTTTCTAGCTCCTATTAAAGCGACATCATGTACGAACTGCTTGATGTTAGCATATGATAATGTAACTTTGATACCTTTTTCCTGCATAGAATGTTATGCTTTTCCCCGTTAGTGTCTTTTCGTCCTATATTGGAGGTTAATGAACAGGCTGGTTCTCTTAAGAATATAATTAAATTACTGAAAAATTTGTCAAGCTTTTGTAAAGTCAGTGCAGTGTTTACAGCTAACCAGTTTTGAGTCATCTCCTGATTAACACTGGAAATTTCATAAGTTCCTAGAATATTTTTTTTCTTCCCTTATTTGGCTGTTAATAACACTGGTTTACATGTTCTAGCTAACCTTTATTCCTATGGTCTGCATTGATTAATGTACGGAGTGATACCAATGCATATGACCCAGGTATGTGGTTCATAAAGGCATAAACCCCTAGCTATGGAACCCTTTAAACTGAGCATTTTGTTCATATTCGAATGAGCCTAAATTATTTTATGTGATAATTATCTACTTCTATAAATATACATTGATAGTAGCAATATTGCACGATTCATACCCTGTAGCCCTTTCTGGCCTAGAGACAGCAGAGGCCTACTTAAAAAAGAAAAACAGAAGAAGAAGAAAATAATCATTCCTTCAGGTGTGTTGGCATGGTAGTAGCTATAATGTCTCTATATAATGAACTGTACCTCGTTGGTCATCTTTACCACTTAGTTGTGTTCCCTTTCTTCATAATATTATGATTTCTGGATATTTCAAGTGCTGTTTGTTGTGTACTGGAACCTTCTTACTTAGAATCAGTCACGTTAGAGCCTGCTGATAGTGTAACCAAGACTTACTCTCTAAACCACAATTGGTTGGCATACTAGCCTCGAGTTGTCTAATGTGTCTGGGTTTTGGACCTATGGGTACGCTTATGAGTTGGACTTGAGATGGACTAGGCATGGGTAAGTTTTGAATGACTTGAAGGATGTGAGTCTAAGTGAATCATGTTGATATGTCTAAGTCATGGGTAACTAGGGAAGTGGGACTCATGTCAATGTGTGAGCTTAGGTCTAACTAGGGTAGGCCCAGTGTCATTAAAGGCTCAAGGTGACCGAGGCGCTAGAGGTCCTTTGAAGCCTAGGTGTGAGGCGCACGCTTGAGCGAAGCGAGTCACACAATTGAAAATTTAAACTACCATAAAAGCATTCATATCTCATAAGTCATATCAATATTCTAAAGATTAATATCAAACATGAAAAAGTAAATCCATATATCCAATTTCAAGAAAATCTGTTAACAGAAAGGGGGAAAAAAAAAAAAAGAACACACAAAAAAAAGAAGGAAATTATTTAGGACAACATTCAAGGAAGAAGGGGAGGAGAGAGAGAGAGAGAGAAAGATGACAAAAAAGAAAAGAAAAGAAAAACTGTTAACCTAAAAAAATAGAAAAAAAGGGTAAAAAAAAAAAAAAAAAAAAAACCCGCAGGAAAGAAATTTGTTAACAAAAAAAAAAAAAGGCAGGAGGAAATAATTTAGGACACAGAAGAAAAAAGAAGAGAGAGATAGAGAAGAAGACAGGGACAGCAAAAAAAGAAAACTGTTAACAAGAAAAGGAAAAAAGCAGAGGGAAGAAAAGAGAGAAAAGTAGATGAGAAGGGAGAGAAGCTGTTAAAGAAGAAAAGGGGAAAAAAACGGAGCCCAAAAAAAAAGAGAGAGAAGAAGTAAACGAAGAGAGAGAGAGAGAGAGGTAGACATAGACGATACGAGAGTGAAGTAGACAAAGATGATAAGAGAGAGAAGTAGACAGAGAGAAGAAGAACAAAGAACTGACCTGGCTTTGTCGTTCGTTTCTGCTAGGGCTTCGTCGTTCGTCTCTGCAACGTGGATTCGTCTCACCCTCTCACGTCTTTCTATGTCCGTCTCACAGTCTTACTCTCTCACGTCTTCTCCCTGTTGGTATTTGACTCTTGGCTTTCTTATTTGTTTATTCTTTTGAACTAAAGTTCCAGAAGTGGCAAAAAAGTTCCCTTTTTGGCTTAGGAAAATATAATAATAATGTTTTTTTAAAATAGAAAAAGTCAGTTGCGACTGGGTGCGCCTGACGACCAGGATGAGGCGCAGCCCAGGCGCGCCTTTAATAACACTGGGTAGGCTCAACTGGAAAGCTAGGAATTGATGTGTTAAAGTTGTAAATGACTTGGAAAGTATTGAGTCTAAATGACTCGTGTTGGTATGTGGCTTAGGTCTAACTAGGGTAACCTAATTGAAGTGGTAAGGGTGTGTTAAAGGGTGGTAAGTTTGAGTACTTGAAGGACTTGATGATGATCCAAAGGGTCATGTTAAATGATGTGGACCTAGGTCTAACTAAGGCAGGCATAGTTAATGTGATAGAGGTTGATGAACCTATTGATTCTTGATTCACTTTGATGACTCTGTGTCATGTAATATGATGTGAACTTAGGTTTGACTAAGGTAAACCTAGATGTCATGCTATGAGTAGGTGCACTTAAACCTAAGGGTTGGAATGTTACCTGTATGAGTCTGACAGGTATCTGGGCATAAGCTGTATGATCTTTTTAATCAGGTTGGTCTTTTCTTTAATCCTAACGTTATTCTTCTCACACTAGTAGTGTAATCAAAGTTGTGGAACAATGTATCTTCTTGTTTGTTTTTATTATTTTTTTCCTGGGTTAATAATAATATTTATGATTATTATTATTATTATTATTATTATTATTATTTCTTCAGTATCCATGTACTGGTTGACACTTAGCTTTCACGAATACAGTTGTAATGTCCATTTGACTAGTAGACAAAAAGCAATATATTATGACATATCCGGTATACTTTCTCAGATTCTTTTGGGTGGATATGTACTTGCTCAGATTGATGGGTTTTCTTATATTGGTTTTCTATGTCTTGCGTATCGGTATCCTTCGTTCTCTATTAGATAAGGGTTCAAATTTTAGTGTTTAGAAATACAACATCTACAAAGCCTTTTCCACAATTACCCGGAGTTCGCTACATGAATTATATTTTCCCATTCCACTCTTATCTATGATGTAGAACAGCTCGCTCAAGATTATATGAGCATACAGGATCATCATTATCAATTTAATTCCAGTTTCTCTCTTGTGAGTGCGTTCTTTGTGAATTCAAGGGTTTAACCTTGTTCTTTGTTGTTTCTGCTATGTTAGTTGGTATCAGAGCAAGGTTCCGAATCCAAGATTCGCCTTTGTTTCGATGGCCGGTTCACGAGCTGGAAGCAACCCCTCCAGCGGCGGTGATCGTGATGGAGTAGCTCTTTTGAGGGCTGAGTTTACTGAGTTCTAGACCAACGTTAATCATACCTTACTTGATATGCATGAAACTATGCGTCAAGTATTGTCGAGATTGACAACGGTAGAACAAAACTGCGAGAACAACAGGTTGCCCAACGACAGTGATCATGGACGTCCTGCTTGTAATCGCAACCCAAACCCATCGAATAGGCAACCAACCTATGAGGAAAATGTCGGTTTTGGTAACAACCGAGCTGTACAGGTGTTTGGAGATAATCGAGGTCGATGGGAAATTGATGATTCCAGGGAATTTCGTATGAAGATTGACTTACCCACCTTTCAAGGTCATCTTCGTATTGAAGAATTCTTGGATTGGATTAGTGAAGTTGAATGTTTCTTTGACTATGTGAAAATCCAGGAGGAGAAGCAAGTCAAACTCGTAGCCTATAAGTTGAAAGGTGGCGCATCAACATGGTGGGATCAAGTCAAAACTACTCGTGCACGTGAGGTTAAAGATCCGGTATGTATATGGGTTAAGATGAAGAAGTTGATGGAAGCTCGATTTTTACCCCCTGATTACGAACAAGTTCTTTATCAGAAATATCAGTCCTGCACGCAGGGAAGTAGAACGATTGCTGAATATGCTGAAGAATTTTATCGGCTGTCATCCTGTAACAACCTGGTGGAACCCGAATTTGGCATGGTGGCCCGTTTCAAAGGTGGGTTACGATGGGATATTGAAGAGAAAGTGGCATTGCAACCGCTATTCAAACTGTCTGAGATTGTCACGGCGGTAGAGAGAGCAGAATAGTTACTAGAGAAGTCGAAGAATCGGTCTCGTGGTTCATATAATACTCCACGTCCTACACATGACGTGGGTAAACAGACCACAGTAACCCTGTTCCAATGACATGGCTAGGCATTGGAGATGGTCCAAAAAAGGCTAAACCCGTAGCACCCATAGGCCTTGCTGGAAGGGGAGCCCCAGCTGTGAGAGAAAATTCCTATGCACACCCAGGTATGGGCAAGTGTTTTCGATGTGGAGAACCTGGCCATAAATCCAACAATTTCCCCAAGCGACCGACAGTAAATCTGGAAGGCGAGGGTGAGGAAGGTGAGTTCCTTACCTTTGAAGAAGAGGTGATTGAAGGAGACAATGGCGAGTTGTTGTCCCACTCTTTAGTTGTGAGGAGGTTGATGTTCACGCTAAAGAAGGAGGAGCACCCGCAATGTCATAATGTGTTCTGTACATGTTGCACTGTCAACCATAAGGTATGTGACATTATTGATAGCGGCAGTAGTGAGAACATTGTTTTCTTAACAATGGTTCAAAAATTGGGGCTTAAAACAGAGAAACATCTCCATCCATACAAAATTGGATGGATAAAGAAAGGCTCAGAAACATGAGTAACTGAAACCTGCACCGTTCCATTCTCAATTGGGAAAGCGTATGTAGAGGAGGTGCGTTGTGACGTAGTCGACATGGATGCATGCCATATGATATTAGGCAGACCATGGCAATTTGATATCGATGCCACTCACTGTGGTAGAGACAATGTGTATATTCTATACAAGAATGGTCAGAAGATTGTTTTGGGTCCGTTGAAAGAAGCCGAATTTCCCAAAGGAAATTCAGTTGTGTTGATCAACAGTGAGGAATTTCT